TCCTGCTGATCACAGGAAGTTGGTACCACGTTCCTTTTAGCACAGAACGATGTAAATGCTATTTAACTGTTCTTGGAGCTGCAGAAGGCAGCTTGACAAATGACATAAAGTTTAATGGTACATGCGGAGAACTAAAATGTGTGCAAAAACAATGTAGATCTGGGAGGGTTCTGTAATGCAGGCATGCTGGGATGTGCCAGATGTTCCAGATAATATTTTTGGATGATAGGCAGTCTGAGTTCTACTATGGTAAGTATAATAATTAAGATAGTCTCAGAGAATCATATGTGTTGAGCTCCATGTGAATAAAGGAGGAGTCTTCTGTTGCCAATTTTGTAGGAAGAGTTTTTGCAGGAAGAAACAGAACTGTGCTGTCAAGAACTACTTTCTTCAGCGTTTTGTTTTCTCTCTGAAGTGCTGAATAAATTATATCTTTGCTTTTTATTTAATTATCTGTAGTACATGAAACATTTTCTCCCTACCTTGCTGGTATGTTGAGAAATGACTATGAGAATGATTATGTGGAATTTATCTGCTCAGAGAAGCTAATATAAGTCTTTCTAGCTTCTGTAGCTTCTAACTGATTCTGTCCAGCTGTAGTGATTGTAAGTTAAGATAATTTAGCATTTTTACTGTACCATAACTTTGTACATGAAGGCTTGAGCTGACAAGTCTCTAGCTAGTACTGTAAAATGAATCTTTCAGTAGCAATGCCCAATAATATATTTCTTTACAGTTCTGTTCAGACTACACTCTTCCTTAATCTTTAAGCAGCTCAAAAGGGAACAGGCATTTCACATTACAGGAGAAAATAAAGGGAAATAAACTATGGCTGTGCTTGATTTCTATAAAGAACACCTATATGCCATAAGGAGAAGCAAGAGGCAGTTGGATTTGTGTTGGGTTTTAGACCTGAGCAACATTCCATATAGTAAGTTCTGTTATAGGCTGAAAAGTTTAGCCTGTGAGTTTCACTGCTCTAAGGACATGAAATTCCCATTGAATTGGAACTTTTGGTGCCCATTGTACTGTCTGTAGTGTGAGGTGAAAACCATGTGTAGATTCTCTAAGTTAGACCAAATTTAGCTGATGTATCTGCACAGCACAAACCAACATCTATTATCTCTCCCCTCAATGAGAGTGAGTGGAAGAAAAACCTCAAAGGCTGATTTCATTTTTAGCTGAGCATAATAATTTTGCAAGTGTATTCAATGGGTTAAGCATCAGGTCACTGAGCTAGAGAGATAAGTAAAACCCTGGCAACAAGGTTACCGTTTCACTTTAGAATGAACAGAATGTACAGAAATGCTTAGGATAACGAATGTGTGAGTTAAGGAAGCAGGAGAAGAAATGTAGGGAATTCAATATCTGAGTATAGAAGAATAAAAGAACAGTATTTACAATAAAGGTAAAAGAATCTTTTTTGCATCTGAATGAAAGACAAATTTAGATAAATGAATATATTGCATATGACCATTGAGATTAGTAACTCTCATTAGTAAACTATTCTAGTCTCGTCACCAACTCTTCTAGTCTCTTCCACCTGTAAACAATTAACAATGACTTTTGTATGTTTTGACACTATCTCTGCAGTTCAGCGTTCCTTTGTTTTCTATGATTTATGTAATTTCTTTACTTCTTGGGATAAACTATTTCTTTTCATTATGAAATCATGATTCAAGAAAAAAAAATTTTGGTTATTCATAGAAAAAATTTTTGGTTATTCATAGAAATTTCAGGTAAAAAGGAGTTTCTACAGGATTTGCTTTGGGAGAGGATCAGCCGATCTGCTTGTTAGACAGTTCAGGCCTTATTCTAGTTGTGTAAGTTAGAGTAGATCCACTAAAATCCCCAGAGCTACACAAATGTGAAGCTGACTCTAAAGAAGGCTGATAGGTGCCAGTGACCTGAATTTCACAGAATTTGTGCTTTATAGTCTGTGACAGCCTCCCACATGTCTACTAGTGGTGAAAGTGGCCT